TTACAAATACAAATACATTTGTACATGTACACTTGATAATTTCAATATGTGCATGACATCATAATTAATTGAAATAAAGTACTGACATTACCCAGTACCAAGTACATGTACATGTACATGTAATACAATTAAGCACTAAATGTTTTTTTTAAATCATAAAAAATTCAAACTTGATCAGAATCAGCTCAAACTTGCTAAACAACATAAGAACATGCATATGTATCAGAGAATATAATAAAAATAAAAATTTCTTTCCTGATCAATTTTGACGAAATTTAGCTGAACACTTTGCACTATAGTCCAGGGTTTTTGGCCAGTTCTTATGCATCAGAAAATACTGTCACCATTGTCTATACCTGAAAGACCTTGATTCTTATTATAATTACTATATCTACAGACAAATTACTATCACTACACTATAGCTGCACGTATTATATTACCATTACAGGAGTATCACATAATCATTGACATTACTATTACTATTAGTCTATCATTCATCCCTACTATACAATTCAACTCTTCTATTGTACATGTACATGTACAATATAATTGTACACATGTAAGTATAGATGTATTACATTACCCCTTCCCTACACTTACCAGTCACTATTATACTAATAGCTTCAGTAGTACTAGCAGTAGGATCACCAGGTACATTCACTGATACAGTACATGAATAATTATAGCTACCAGCTGTAGTATAAGTCTGTTGTAGGGAGCTCTCACTAACAGCACCAGTTGGATTAGTAGCTGGAGTAGCACCTGATACTGAAGGGCCAGACCATGTAAGTACTTTAGGGAACACTAGAAAGTCAAAGGTCATCAGTTGCAAGGTTGCAGTACACATTAGTGTAGCTGTGTTGAATGAAGGATGATTAGGAAGGTGGTATCTTGTGGAGTTTAATACTACTGCTGGTTTAGGAGCTATATAGGGGGAGAGAGAGGGAGGGAGGGAAGGAGAGAGAGGGGAGGAGAAAAGAAATGAAGTGGTAAACAATGGTGGTGGGGGGTAGAGAGAAAAGGGAATTGGAAGGAACAAAGAGAGAGAGGGGGAAGGGTAGGTAAACTAAAAACAGTGAAAACAATATTAAGGGTGCTGCTCCACCACCCACGCACAATTTTTAATCTGTTGCTAAGGGAGCTGTTTTTCTAAAAGTACTTTAACAATCATAATGAAACCATTACTAGTTGAAAGACAGTAACTATATTAGTCTGTAAGCTAACTTGGAGCCTTTAACTCATTATAGCTATGGCATCAAGAGCTAAAATACTGAAGAATTTTCAAAGCAAAAAATTCCTCTTACTTTCAATTTGAATTACCAGATTTCTACGTGAAGGCAGTTCTTAACTAAACAAATTGATTAACATAGAGATATTTTTCTTTTTCTTCTTGCAATACCGTTTATTTTGATTTTCGTATTGATTGACACTACATTTTACTATGAGTGGATCTACGAGCCTCTCTCTTTGACTTGGCATTGGTTCTTCTCCTAATATATTTAATAATAATTAATAATAACTAATAATAATTAATAATGATTAATTATACTAGCCCTGTTTAATCATAGATATTAGAGTTACAGGGATAGGAAACTTCCGTTCGCGGGAAATCAAGCTACCTTCCCCATACCGTATTAATTCTTTCTAATTGTCAGTAAATTTCATTTTTACACTGAGCAATGGTGGCTAGTCTCTGATGTGCCAGGTCTTTCTCATCATCTTTCAGTCTGTTCAGGTCCACTGTATCAACTTGAAAATGAACTTGCAATGGAGCCATGTCTATATTCTTCCTTTACTTTAGTTATCTGATGTTTATTTTATTATTTGGCTCCTCAAAATTAGAATGTTGGTAATGCATCACTTTATTTCAAGTGTCTCAAACAAAAATTTTTTTGAGGTACTTAGAGTATTTAAAAACAACTGCTAATGGGTGGAAGACCCGGGATAGGTTATAAACTTTTTGTAGATGGGACCCTTTAGGCACTAGAACGTCCAGTTCTTGAGATAGGCGTTTAGAAGCACAACACAGCAAATTTGCTTTATTTGTGTGTAAAACACCACCAAAGTGACGCACAGGACTGCTTCGAGGCGGAAGACCTGGAGGACTGCTTGTAGAATTGGTCTACCTTGCTAATCATGAAGAATTTAGAAATGTGTTTGAGATACAGATGTAGAAGTGCAAAACAAAAATTTCGGCGTCATTTCGTGAAGATGTGATGTTTTGTAAAGTAGACACACTAGTCTATCACAGTTTATATTGAAGCACTATTCTAGAGCAATAATAACGCAACATAAAATCTTCGAAAAAGGCTTTTATCAGGCAGAGACAGTAGAAAATATCAGCCCAGACAGCAAATTGCCTAATTTTTGGGCTGTGTAAAAAGGGAAGGGAGCATCAGAATTATCCCGTTGCTAGGCTACAATATAAACTCAATGGGAATAATAAAACCGCAATCGGAAGTTTCCTATCCCTGTATACTCTAATATCTATGGTTTAATTGAAATATCTCTATGTTACTGTATGTGTAATCATATAAATATGCTCCATTGTAATTTGGTCTGATTCTGAGCACCACATGCAAAGTTTTTTGAAATTTTGCATTTTCTGGCATAAAACACCAATTTTATAATCTAAATTTTATTTTACATCTTTTTGGGAAGCCTTAGTACTTTTACTCCCTTTCTTAAAGGTGCTTCATAAAATTGAAACCCATTTATAAGAACCTATCACATGCACTGATAGTCTGATACACACATTAAATCATACATGTATATCACATCAACTATATCAACAGGAACATGCATAATACATGTACATGTATTTATAAATAGAATTACTTACCAACAATGTCATATTCATTGGTCCTACTAATGGAAGCATTGACAATATAACTTGATACATAATTAGACGACACGTTGACCATGCAAGTGTATATACCAGAATCCTCAGAAGACACAAAATATTGAAATTGTAAAGTCTTTCGATACTGCCCTGCACTAGGATTACTTGATAACTCTTGTAGGTTTTTCCTCCCATTAGCAGAAAGTCCAGAAGGAACAATTGTCCCATTGAATAGTATATCAATGCTGACAGTGACTGTAGGATCATTGTGTATGTATAATGAATCAATGGAGCATTGAAGGTCACGTCTGAGGCCAGCATAATAGGGTGGAGATAGATAGTTAAGAGCCAATACAACTGAATTAGGCTCAGGCACTAAAATAGAGAGGGGATGGGGAGAGAGAGAGAGAGAGAAGGATTGAGGTCAGACAAAATAACATCTGTCATAACTCACAACACTATAACAACATCACACAATATCACACTCACCATACTGCACTCACACCACAT